CTTCATCCTTGGCAGTTCTGATGTCCATAAAAACAATACAGCTGCACCCAGAAACAAAGGCAGCCTGTGAGGATGCATGGCAGGGCACCGTAACAATCAGCATTGTTGCTGGGTCACCATACAAACACCAAGATGCACTTGGAGACAAGAACAAAACAAAAAAATCATTCAAAAAGGGCTAAGTTATTGTGTCAAATACCTTCAGTACACTGCCCTTCCAGTGCTTAATGTGGGCACCTCCTGATACCACGTGCATGGACTCCTTGCTCCTGTACCTGATGTACAGCACACTGCATGCTTGCTCCAGGTTCTGCCTGTTGAATGGTCCCACTGCAACACCATGCAGCAGTGCTGCCTGCAACCCTAATGGGGAGGGAGAAAAGAAGTCCAGAAGGGTACAGCCATGTGCAAGTGAGCACTCTTCATCAGCAGGATCCCCACGTGGGCAAACTCAGTCCCAGAACTGCTGTTGCACCCTTGCTGCTACTGCAGCTCCTGAAGGATCACGCTGAGCTCTGATGCTCCCCATGGAACGGGGCTTTCAGCAGAACAGTGCGGGTGGGCTGAGATCTCACGTCAGAGCTTCCTTTCTCCTCCTCAGCCCCAAATCAAATAGAAAGCTGCACAGCATAATACAGCACACTGCTTGCCAGGCGATGGGCCTGGGCTGTCAGAGGGCAAGAAAGTGAGAGCAAAGCAAGGCTGTAAATCCTTGGCTCTGAAAGCTAAGCTTGTAGTGTAGCTGTTTGTGAGTGCACAGAGAGATGCTCTGCTCTTCAGTGAGAGGGAGGGAAGGAAGGATCTGCTGAGGAGAGTGTGCCAGGGAACAGCTGGAAACTAAAGCTGAGGGAGATGGGGCAGAGAAGAAGGAAACGTTTTATGTGGGCTTTCCTATGTGGTTCAGATAGGAAAAATACACACCACCAGAAGCAGACTCATCTCGGAATCAGGTAAAATGGAAAGAGAAAAAAAACCCTAAAAACAATAAAGAGAACTTTTAACTCAACTCATTAGAAGAGCATTCTAGCCATTCCAGATTTATGGTGCTTGGCTCATATCACTCTGGGGACTTGAGGCTCAGAGTCCCCTACCAGCAAAGCTCTTATACTGGGTGAGGAAGTTCACAGCTCCCCTCCCCAGGAGCACACCTGGAAGGTGACACACACATCACCCAGTGCACTGTGCATCCCCCATCCTGACTTGAGAGACAGCAGAAGACATTCAGACCTGCTTGGGACTTGGGCCCATTTGGGTTCTTAAGCCACAGCCAGGCAGTCCCACAACAAACAGAGACAGAGGATCAATGCAGTTACATTCAGAATTATTATCATTACACAACAAAGGAAAAGAAATAAAGGAGAGAGAAACAATAGATGCCAGAATTGTTTCCAAGCCACAGCCTGCTCTGAGAAGATCAGTTTTGCATCCCTGATGACATGGAAAGAACCATCCCTGAAGGACAAGGGTGCAGGTGCTGGCAGACACACTGACCTGTCTGACACACGCTCCCCACTCTTCCATAGCTGGAAGAGATTTCCAGCAGCACGGCTGAGCTGAAGCTTTCCCTGCAGGCTGATCCCACACAGGAAGACAATAGCAAGTCTCCATTTAGAATGCTTTGCCTCAATGCAACTCCCATCAGAGTGCTAAAACCTCAAAATAAACCACGATTCCAGTTACTACAGAGACCTGCCATTGCAGCAGCACTGCTCCAGCTAGAGCTCTTACCCAGCACAGCCACAGCCAGAACCGACTGCCACGTGCTGAGGAGGAGAAGGCAAGGTGTTGCCAGAGATGTACAGAGCCCTGCCATAAGCTGCACAGGTAGAACAGATGTTTGTAGCACCCCCCGGGTGATGTTCCTGGTCGCACACTGGTGGCTGAGGGTTGGGGTGAACTGCTGGGGGTGAGAAAGCAACTGCTGGAGAGAAAGGGCTGAGACAACAGCAGTGGAAGCTCCGAATTCAGACAACTGCACAAAGAGCAGCAGAGGAAAGCACGTCCAAGGAGGTGACCACTGAGGGAAACAATGTTATCTGTGGGTAAACAGCACTTAATAAGGACAGGGGGATAAGGTGGAAACAAGGGGCACAGTCACATTGCAGAGGGGGTGGTCACAACAGGATGGGGCCATCAGTGCTGCTCCAAGCACTGCCTGAGAGCAGTAAGGAAGCCATGAGGAGGATAGCTTAATGTGAACCGAGAGAAACAAAATCTATCTATCCCCCTTCCAATCAAAGCCATCTGTTCAGAAACATACTCCATTCTGTCCTGAGCACACATCTCAGCTTTCCTACGGGAACAGCAGCAGGTGAGGGGGCAGCCCTCTCCCAGAGCAGCGTGCAGCCATGCAAGGATCAGCAAAGAGCACACAATGCATCCACATCAGAGTGGCAGAGACTGCCTTGGCCTCTTCCTGCTGCATGGCACCCAGGGAAGCAACGTGCAGCAACTCCACGTGAGTCACACTGCTGCCTCCTGCAGCAAGCCACCCAACGAGCTCGGCAGGATTGCTCTGGGGTAAGCTTGCTGAAAGCCAGCTGTTCCAGAAAGGCTGTGACATAGCACTCACCAGGCAATGGGTCCTGCTGTGATGAGCACCAGGCTGCACAGGGATGGCTCTGGGAAGTTTGAGGGAGAAAGCTGGGAAGGATGACAGCAGAAGCTCAAAGAAAGAACCGTAACATTCTCCTCCAAAGAGCAGTACAAATGCTAACTTGAGGCCTTTTGAAAATGCCCAAGAGAAAGACAACTTTAACTCCATCTCAGTTCCACACTCTCCCAGCCTGGGGATGGCAACATCCAGCTGCATGGCACAAGTAGTGCTCCCAAGGGACGGATCCACTCTTTGCAGGGAGCACAGTTGGCTTGGTGCTCCCTAAGACCCACAGCCCCAGCAGCTTCAGCATCAACCTCGTGAGAAACTCAAGTGGCAGCTGAAATTCAAGCCTCTGATCCAAACAGTCATTTTTAAGCCTCCAGAAGCTCTGCATTGAGGATCTGATGCAGCACAAGATACCAAGCTACAGGGATACAATGAGAAGGGATACCCTGCTCCTGGGATCCTGAATGAGAACAGACAGAAGGATCTATGATGCTTTAGAAATATACATCACAGCATCCTAAGGCTGCCAGGAGCAAGTAGTGGCTCCTCAGACCTCACCACGTAGATGCTGACAGATCGTGCCCCAGTCACAGGATCAACCTCAAGCACACTCCACTTCACATTGACCTTGGCAAGCTTTGCCACTGGGACAGAAGAAACAAGTTGTGGGTGATCTGTTTTTTCAGATTAGGATGTGGGGTGGGGGGGACAGTCAGGGAGGGAAGGAGGAGGACCCACTGATGAGAATGAAGCTCACAAAGAAAACCCCTCCACAATGCTGTCAGTGGTTTCGGGGCAGCATTAAGCAGACGATATGAAGGAGGCCAAGCACTACTAACACCAAGTGCCTTCACACCTGGGATGCTATCTGGGGCACAGCTGCAGCACATCACAGAAACCTGCTCCTTCAGTGCATGCATCCCCAGCACTCCAAGACTGATGCCATCCAATTGCCGAGGCCGTCAGGGATAGCTCAGGATCAAACTCACTTCAATTTCAAAGCTGCTCCATCCGATCACAGGCACAGCAGAAGCAACAGAAGCAGAGACAAACAAAGCACGTATTAGTGTGAAAAAACAACCAAACAAAAAAACAACAGCATGTGACTCAATTCCCTAATTAGGAATGGGCTCATTTGCTTACAGAAAGGGAAGGTTCCGAAAACATTAGCTGACTGGGATTTCTTTTTTCTAGAAAGAAATAGCGTTACTTTGCTGTTACAAAACAGATACAGAGAGGCACCCTTCCCAGCCATAGCTAAGTCACAGTGTTGGGTTCCACACGTGTATCAAAGAACCACCACACACTCACTTCCCAACCACCCTCATTACTCCTGCCTCATCAGCATCTGAACAGCAGCCAAAAGCATCCATAGCATGACACCACCACGATGCTAACAGCCCACTTCACACAGCCCCATTCCAGCCTTCCATCCGCCCTGCTCAGTAAGCCTTATTCCCAGGGAGCAGCTCCATCGCTCCCACCACGGGGTTCTTTAGGAACGCTCTCTGGGCGTTTAGGAACGCTTAGGTTCTTATGGGAACGCTCTCTGGGGAAGCTTAAAAGCACAGAGCGGCTCCTCACAGCCAAACCACAGCCACACATCCCCACAGACGAGCGGTACCACAGCCTTCTGCTTCCAGAATTTGTTACTCTAATTTCACAGCCCTCCAGAGCTCTGAGTCACTGCCTCCTCGGAGGTACCAGGTGTGCACTTCCATCACTCCTGCAGCGCTGCTGGCAGCTCTGAGGGCTGAGTGCATCATGCCCTTACATCAAGGCCTGCTTCAATTCCAAGCCCTGAGAAGCACCCGGCTCTCTCAGGCTGCTGTTCGCTGAGAAAACCAAGCACCAACTGCTCCAACCATCGGGTCAGCTGCGGGGATGGCGAAGGATCTGCATTGCACGGCTTCTATTGAGCCCCTGGGGCCGTTATTTTGCACTGAGGCCAGAGAGAAGGATGACAGATTGAACGCCACTCCAGGACCCGCACCCTGCCGGGCTGTGCTATGCTTTAACTGCAGCGCGGGGCTGCAGGAAATAGCACAGTGCCACTCCTCGGCTTTTAATCACGGTCTTGTGACACTATAGTTAATAGTCTGCCGTGGGCTCCATCACACACCTCGACGTTGGCAGGAGGCGGACAAACGAAGCAGCAGCGTGCGCACATCGAGCCCGGCAGCTCCTCTCTGCAAATAACGCTCCCGTTCTTTTGTTAGGGATCAGCTTCCTCGCAGCGCGGCTCAACCCGCAGCGGGCAGTGAATGGGGCAGAGCCGCGGGGCGGCACCGGGCGGACACAGCGGGCACCGGGCGGACACACCGGGCACCGCCGCCCCACGACGGACCCCCCGCAGCCCCCGCAGCGCCGTCCCCCCGCGCCGCCTCGCCCTTACCGTTGCTGTAGGCGTACGGGGACTCGGACGCGCCGTCCTGGAGGCTCTCCAGGATCTCCCCCTTGCCCACGTCGCTGTCTCCCACCAGCAGGAACTTGAGGAGGTAATCGTAGCTTTTCACCGGGCTGCCCTGCGTGCCCATCCTCGCTCCCCAGCCGCATTCCAGGCACCGCCGGGCCGACGGCCGCCCTCAGGTCCTCCCGCGGGGCTCAGCGCTCCGCCCTCCCGCGGCCCATCTGCGGAGCGGTGCGGGACCTGCGGGGGAGGAGAGCGGCGCTCAGCCCGCGCCCGCTGACAAAGCCCCGCGCCCGGCCCGCCGCTAGGCCCCGCCGCCCCGCGCGGCCCGGCCCGCCGCCCCCCTCCCTCCGGAGCCCCGCGGCCCCCACCGGCGGGCGGCGGCCCGCGCTGCTCACCTCGCGGCCGGGCGCCCCGGTGCCGGGCCGGGCCACCGCCACCACGGCCGCAGCCTCCGCCTGGCGCCGCCGCGCAACACCCGCTCGGCAACCGGAGAGGCGCTGCCCGAGCCCCGCCCTCCGCTCCCGGCTCGCTATTGGCTGAGAGACACGTCATCACGCGCGGCCCCGCCCAAACACGCCTCTGATAGGGCGGGGCCCGCCGAGGCGACCGCAGACTACAGGTCCCGGCGTGCCTCGCGCGGGGCGGACGCGGGCTCGCGGGGCAGTGTCGGAGCGGAGCATGATGGGAACGCGAGGCCGGGAGGGGTGGCGGCGCGCGGAGCCCGCGGGTTGTCCGGGTTCAGGCTGGGCCGGATTGGGAAGTGGCGCCTGACCCCGCCGCGGGACGGTGGAGCCGTACCCCAGATCCCGTCTGCTGCCGTGGGTCATTTCCGAACAAACGCGGCACGGAGGTGCTGTGACAGTCACTGACAGGAAGCGGGCGCGGAGCGCGGCCCGGCTCTGCACGGGGTAACGCTCGCACGTGTCCCCAAATCCCAGCGCACAGAGCGGGGCGGGTTTTGCTGGGGCTGCCCGCAGCCCGGCGAAGGGCTCGGGGCCGGGGTCGGTCCGGGCAGGGGGCGGGGCCGGGGGGCTCCTCCGCGGGGGATGTGGTCGTCCTGCGAGCGCGGGAACCTGCAGAGGGGCCGGAGGGGGAGCGATGAATGCGTCGGTCCTCGGCGCACTGAGGAGCCGTGGGCACCAAACCGCGCGTGTCAGCCCGGAGATGTGCGCAGATCCGCCTCTGCGTGTCCCCCCCTCGATGGTCCCAGCATCCCTCGATGGGCTCGAGCTCATTTGCTGCCTCGGAGCCGCACCACCCAAAGCCCCTTGGGAGGGCTCGTTTAGACGAGGCTTTGTTAAGACAGCGTTCCCGCAGTCACTGAAAATGCATGAGGAAGCACGGAGCGCTGGGCTGGGAGCCACAGCCCTGATACGCCCGTCAATCCACGGTCCTCACCCTGACACCCTCACCCAGCCCTACCTGGGGTGGGTCGCCCCAAAGGATCCCCAGTACCTGCTCAGTTAACTGCTGCGAGTTAACATATGGGTTATACATACGTGCAGTGCTTGTTTTCTTTGGGAACGGTGAGACATTCACACGTGCCAGCAGTACGAGGCACAGCCCAGCTGATGGATCAGAGATTAACCTCCCAAAACCATAAACAGAGCCCTCGGTGCAGTGTAATTACTGAGATCTCCTTTCAGCATCGTCACATGCTTTGCTGGTTAGGAAAGGAAAGTATTTCTCAAAGGCAGAACTTCCATCTAGGATGGAATTTTACACGCACTGAGTTACATTTTCCTTCACAAAAATCACGCCTGTGTGAAGAGGCAGATCAAGTGTTGTGCCAGCACTGGGAACCGTAAGATGGAATAAATAATCAAGGCAAAATGCGGTATTAGGGGAAAAAAAAAAAAAAAAGGAGCAAAAACTGAGCAAGATGATAATCTTTGAATGACGGCTGGCAAAGCCTGCTTGTCGCCTGCTAGAAGGCGTGTGAGGTGGGAGGCAGAGAAGACCTGAAAGCTTTTACTGCTTCTCATCTGGGGACTGAGCTGGATAATGTGAATCCGAGGGTAAGTTAGTGCCACAGCCTCACCAGCAGTCTCTTCCCCAAGGAAATGCCAGCACTGGGCCAATTTGCATTGCTGTGGAAGACGATGCTGATCATACCTTGTAATTAGGGATGACACAAGGTCAAACGTTCCCGAGCAGGATGTCTGCTAAGTTGTTGTAATGTCTCTGCGCAGCATCAGAAAAGGGTGGGGGAAAACTATTTCACATCAGTGGCTGGAAAGAAGAGGACAGACGTGGCACGTATCCAGCAGAAGAAACTTACAGGCTCAGGAACCATCACGGATAAGGACATCGAGTCCAAAACAGTAAGGCAGTTCAGGCACCCATCCTGCATGGCGCTGGAGAATGACACACACTGAGAGCCCTTAATTCCCAGCTGGGCAACCCAAGGCTCTCAACCCACAAGATCCAGGCTCTGCAGAATCTTTTTCCTTCTGATATCTCCCTGGTGTCAGTATCAGCCCTCAGTAACAGACCTGGTGTTGGAATGCCTAATGTATTTGGCAGGTCCCCAACAGGAAGGTCACATTTGCTGCTTCGTGCTGTCCTCTGGGCTTTCAGGTCACTTGATCCCAAAGGACAGCCTGGATTAGAACCATCACGAGCTGTTTTGTCTTACAGAAGAATTTGAAAAGGCAGCATATGAGGAACATTATTTCCACAATATCAAAAATAATAATAAAGTTTCCCTCAGCCATTAGTGAACTAAGCTATGCAGGCATGGGAGGAAGTAGGGGAATGTCATTGAATTACTACAGTGGAAACATGAGAGGGGCTAAAGTGTAAACCTGCTCTGCTGTGCACCAGGTCCGGATGCCTTTCCACCACTCTGACTTAATGCTGAAGGGAGATACATTACTAGGAGCATTTGCCCACTGAATGGATCACAATCCAGCCTTACTCAAACCTGGAGTTGAGAGAAATACTCAGGCACTGATGTTGAAAAAAATAAAATAGTGGACAGTGTACAGGGCTGTTAAGCACTGATCATTAAGGCTCCTTAATGGAGGTGCTCCTCCTTAAGCTCTGTTCCAGTTTCTGCAGCCAGCAATGTCCCACCTAGAGCCAGAGGGAGCAGATGGTGGCAGGGGGACTTTGTGCCACTGGGATGAAGGAAACACACCATCACAGGTAGCAGTACTTGTTCATGCTGCCTCCTCTGGTGCTGTCCTTAAGAAAGCTGCAAGCCCTTGGCAGCTCCTGTGTTTGCCTGCTAAGGAAAGTCTGGACCAAACACCTACCTACAGAGCTCCATTTTCTTCCCATCATGCTGTAGCTGAAGAGGCAGTGTTGTCAGAGGCTGTGAGCAGCTACAGGCAAACACACAGACCTGGCCATGGACATCTAAAAGCAGCCTACATCCCTGCAGCCATAATCCCTGCTCTTCTGTGATGCATCCAAGCAAAGGATGAGGCATGGGGTTGGAACAGGAAACGTATCCTGCGAATGAAGGTGCAGATTGCCAGCACACACACCCTCCTCATCTGTCCTCAGATCCCTTGGACAGAGCTGAGGTCCCCCTGAGACCAAGGAAAAGAGAGCAGACCCAGCATGCCTCTCTCCTGCCAGTTAATGCAGCTGCCTGGGGAGCGCAGAGCAGCAGCAGTGCAGTGGTACTGCATTGTTGTTTCAGCCAGGGCAAGAGCAGCAAGCAGACCTGGAGAGTGTGTGCTTTTAGGCTGGGACTGTCTGTAAATGTCTGCACACCAGCAAAGTACCCAGCAGGACATCACACTCCTGTGCACAAGAAGCACTCTCCCTAAGGCAGGAATAGGTGGCTTGCTGGCAGGGGAACAGACATCAAAATGAGTATGTTGTCAGTACAGGATGCAGGAAAGCCAGCTGCTGCTGCACTGCAGAGCTACAGTTCAATGCAGAAACACTCTCCTATGACCAGTGTGTCTACAGGTCCAGGGAAAGAAGTGGCTTTTAATACTTCATCTGAAATAACTTCGACTACCAGAAAGTGCAAAAGATGAGGCAGCACATGAAGAGGCTCCCATCTGTGTCCTGAGAAGCAAGGGGTTGTACTGACCCTGCACAGTGCAGCACGTGCTTCCCCAGGCTGCTTGAGCTGCATACCACCAGGCTGCTGCAGTCCTCTGGCAGATGCTGCAGCTGGGCTCAGCTGGGCTCTGCAAAGCTGCCTTTGCCTTAGACTGCAGCTGAGGGAAAGAGCCCTGAGGCTTGGCAGGGTCCTGAGCTCTCAGCTTTCTCAGCTTTCTGCTGTCAGCTTGGGCAGTTTGGGGTTGTGCACCCTGCACTTCCAATTCTGCTGTCAGCTCAGGGCTCAGCTCTCCCCACATCACTACTGGCTGCCGAAAAGCATTGCTGAGACCTTTTGTCTCTCATGTAGGCACAGTCAAACAGCAGACTTTGTCTCTGGGCCTGCAGTACCATTGTTTCTAAGCTCAGTACCTGCACTGCTGCTGCACTGGGGGATGTAATCCAAGCCCAGTGCGAAGGAAAAGAATGAACATCCTACAAGCCCAAACAATCCCACTGTGCAGTTTTCAGTGTGTGACTACAAGCTGATCCTCTGCTTTGATCGAATGTCAAAGCATAAAAGACTCAGAACATCCTTTGGTAGAATGCACCTCAACACTGTGATTTTGAACCACCAAAAGGGCTGTTTTTAATATGGCTCTGTGAACTCACACAAAAAGATGTATACATCATCAAATACTCAGGAGGTACTTTCTTGATTACAATAAATGCTGGTTCCATGAGGCACTGATGGGTTTAACCTTTTGCTCCAAAAATAATCATTAGCCCCTGGTGCCAGCAGGCAGACATCTCAGGTAGGATGAACACTGCATTAACAAGAAACAGCTTGGAAACCAAACCAGTCCAAACACACAGTAGGGGAAATGGAAAGTTGAAGAATAATATCTAAAAATATTTGTCTTTAAAAATTCAGCCCCTCCCACGTTACCAAAATGTAATTAAAAGGATCCAACAGCTGCTGGCTCTGAGATACCTTTGGTCCAAAAGCATTAGGAGTCAATATGTTTTTCTAACCAAGCCTTTCAGTCCTGGCTCTTCTGTTGTTTTTTTTTGTTGTTGTTGTTGTTTGTTTTTTGGGGTTTTTTTACTCCTGTTTCTCTCCTTTGTGTTTCCAAGGGTAGATCAGCTCTCCAAGGAACAGCTTCTTGCAGAGGGACGCCCAGGAATCCTTGGGGTAACAGCTGTAGGTTGGCAGCCTGTATGTCTGTACCACATTGCCATATGATAGAGGGTTGATCTATGAGAAGAAAGAGAGACAGCAGCAATGAAAATGCCCTGAAGCAGGAGGGACAGGGAGACGAGGCAGTAATTGCAAGTTTTGTGTAGCACTGCCTCTGTTAGAACATCACACAGGCACAGAAGACGTCAAACTCCCTCCCTGCTAGTTAAAGCTATTTAGCCTTCTACAGTGCCCTGAAACTTAACAAATCAAGCCTGGCAAACAGTATTACTCAACAGTTTCCAAGCAGAGAAGCAGATGTAAATGTCAGAAGGATTTGAGAGCACTGCTCACCTTACAGCGAGAAGCAGGACTGTCACCTTGTTGCATTAGCAGCTTGTAGTGGCTGGAGAAAAGGGGGGGGGACTTGACTGCACACACCAGTACTCCTTTGGGGATGCACTAAAGTTGTAGCAACTTCTCCATTCCGTGTCAGTTAGAATGTTCCTTTTAATGGCAACTGTTTTAAGGTGCCAGTCCCCACTCCACAGCTACACTTTCAGCTGAATCTCATTCAGCACTTGATGGATTGGTGTCCCAGCAGAACAGGATGGATACAAAGCAATACCAGGCAGGGCTGCTCGCTATCATTTTAAAATAAATCTCTTTGGCTGAGCTCATAGTTTTCAACGCAAGTTCAATCCCTGTCCCAAGAAAGATCTGCCTGGAGTCCCTGCCTATGCAAGCTCACAGCCTCTGACTGAGGTCACAGAGTCTCTATATTGGTTTTTGGGATGATGGGGACATCAGACAGACGTGTTAGCTGGAGAAGGGACAACATCAGATCTTGGAAACACTCATTCCAGTGAAGTATTTTTCGGGGCAGAGAGATAGCTGAAGTGCAGAGGAGCCAGTCTGAACAAGTCCAGATGCATGGCAAGGATGCACAGCAAGAGACCGTCTTTGAAAAGTGAAGATGATTACACAGTAACAGTGGTGTCAGAAAACAGACTGTGCGAGGTGCCAAGGCAAGGAGACTTACAGAGCCTCGGGAAGCCTGGACAGAGGGGTGAGATGGAAGGAAATCCTCCTCTAGTAAAAGGTCCAGTTATGCTGGAACCAAGCAAGCAGCTGATTGAGAAAGAGGTTATAATTCATGGTAGAAAATGCAGTCACAGAAAAGACAGAGGCAATAAAAACACACACAGAGACACTGCTTTTTCAGAAGCTGAATTTTTCTTTTGTCCACTGATGAATGACCAGTTTTCTGGGAGTTTGCTTATGCCACCAGCCTGCTTCAGCTCCCCTGTGCTCATGGAGAGAGAAAGGATGAACGATGGGTGCCTGCAAAGATGGAGCTTCAAGAAAGAGCGATTAAGCCAAGAGTTCTTTAGAATTAGTCTCAGAGACCTTTATCAAATGTGTTTCAGAGTACAGAAGGAGGAAAATGCTTGTGCCCAGAAGCACCCCTGTGAAGTTTCGAAGAAGGCCAGGCCAAGACAATGAACAGACCCAGCACAGGGTCCGGCTGCGAGTCAGCGATTCAAACAGATTCACAGGAAGCTGAATTCCACCCAAATGAACGTTTGTACCCGAAACCCAAGAGCTGAGCTCACACGTGGGCAACCCAAACTACTGCAGTATTTCAAACACAGCCTTATGGCCAGGGATGGACCACAGCATTTATTGGACATTATAACCAACCTCACTGCATTGCGGGCAGTTAGGAAAAACAGATGAGAAAGAAGGAAGGAGAGAAAGAAGGGAGACAAAAGAAACCATCCCTTTCTCCCCACTTAGAAAACAAAATGTGTGCACAAAATAAATAAATAAAAAATCCCACCAGAGGAAAACTTGAGCAATGATTACTGCCTGCTTCCTCAGCACTGGAGGAGGACAGGATGCCTCTGGCTATTAGCTATGTGGGCTGGAAGGATGCACACAGTGTTTCCCTGGGCAGAGAGATGATACTGAGAGGTAACATTCGTCTGCTGAGAAGTAGCAGGAGATCATTTTAACCCCTGCACAATATATTTTGTCTCTCCCATTATAAATGGAAACAAACAAGCAAAAGAAAGGTAACTGTTTATTAGGGAAGCTGCAATAGCAGTTCCTTTTTTGCAGTTTCTGTCCTTCAAAGTTCTACTGCAGCCTGATATCATATGCATCCTTTGTTTCCTAACAGAGCTGTTCCCTTTTCCTTTCCTCTTTCGCTTAACCCTTCTCAAAGTAATTGCTCTGAAGGATGACATTTCTGGCAGAAGGTACACAGATGAATTAAACACATTTTGTCTTCTCACTGAGCTGAGCCACACTGCCAGAAATACTTCTTGTGGACTGAAACGAATGCTTTTAAACACTGATGAAAATACTGAGCTATGTCAGCTATGGAGAAAATCAAGTTGCATTTGGAATGGGAGCATCACCCCCACCTGCCTGTGCCTGGACATCGCATTCCTTAAATATAAAAATAACTACTTGGCTGAACCACAAGCTGAACATGAATGCTCAAACCCAGCATTATTGATTTCTCATCCATTACCAGTGCCTCAAAGGGGAGCTTGGATTGTAACAGTCACCTGCAGCTTCAATTACTTTAGGCATGGTTACATGCATGTCACCATACTTTGATCAGGCATGGCATCAGAGGGCCACCATATGGGGAGGGGACACAGGCACTGTGATGTTGCTAGAAGGGAAAATCACCGTGCAGCACAGATAAGAATTTCAGCACGCCACTTAAAAACAGGCTTTTTAGATTTTCCTCTCAAAAGACCTATCAGAAAGCGGCATATTCAGCAGAATTTCTGACAGAAGCCCATTTTTCATTTCCACCAGCACAAAGGGAGTAAAAAAAGGGCCTTTACCAACTCTGTGCTCATTATTATTTGAGCAGAAGGCCAAAAGAGACGTCCGCTCAAGCACTTCCACCTTTTGATATGATGACTTATGCTATATTCTAGATAGCAAATGGATCTCGCTGCAGCGGTCCAAGGAAAATTCATCGCATTCATCTGACTCAGTGCCTCTGCTCTCTATCTCAGTCCTGCTATTTTTCCTCTGGAGCAGCTATCCACCTCGGCTCACAAACACACCGCTGCCAAACTGCTCAGCTGCTCCTCTGCTTCACCACTCGTGGCCACAGTTCCCTTTTGATGGAGTTTTTTGGGGAAGGAGAATGACAGATTTTGGTTCTCCCACCGCCATCCTACCGAAACGAAGCGGGAGCAGCGTGCCTTAAAAACACTCATTTTGCCCCAGCAGACACCTGCAGGAGGGATTCCCTTTTGAATCCCTGCTGGATGATGTGCCAGCACGGCGCTGAGCTGACCTGTGCCAAAATGGGGCTGGGGTTGGACCTGTGATGGAAAAAGCAAAAGATCTGGGAAGCCGTGGTTAATTCCTTCCCACACATTCCCCCAGTGTGCAAATGGTTTCTATAATTCCATATACTGACTCACAGACTTTCTTCCCAAGATGCAAAGAGCAAGAACAGCGACCCTGCAATACGGCAAAGTCGGGAGAGGAGAGTTTCACAGAATCACTCCTGAAAGTGTAACGAGAACCTCGCTGCTCCCATCGCATCACTTCTGTGCAGAAGAAAACTGATTTATTATCTCTGGTGACAGAGCGTGGAAATGCAGTCTTACAAAAGCACAGGTAGCCTTGTCCTGTGCGCCCTGACAGGGCACCTAAGGAGAACAACAGGAGGCCCTTCCCTCTCTTGTCTCATCCACACAGCTGTCTGACTGCCTCATGCTACAGCGATGGCTTTTCAACACATCTGGAAGTGAAAATCTTTCACTAGCCCTTAACTATCCTTCATTCCAGATGGTTCAGCTGTTCTTCTTCCACTCATCTCAGTGTTCAGCAGTTATTAAGGTGCAGCTGCACGCAGCCACGAAGTGTGGCAATACTGACATGATATTTCATGCTTCTCAAATTTCTCCCACTTCATTTCACATCACACAGGATGCTGCATTTTCTCCAAACAGAGGAATCAGCCAAGGCGCTTAGAAGATGAGAAAGCAGCAGGCAGTTTAGAAGACCAGAAAGCTGGCCAAAAGTACCTCCTTTGTTTCAGTATTTCACAGATGAAATCCTTGAAGGGGGTCCTTACACAAAGGGCATTTTGTCAGATTTGTGTGCAGAACCCAAATGCACTGACAGCAAAATGCAGTGGCTGAAGGCTGTGGGACCAGTTCAGAGCTCAAGAAGAGGAAAGGATCTGGGGGTCAGCTGGAGGGGTGCTTACAGCAGAAGTGTGACCAAGGGCACACGCAGCTCACCTGCATAAGGAGTCGAAGAGGTTTTCCATCCTTCTGCTCCAGGACTCTGAACTTCACACCAGCTGAAAAGAAACAGAACACAAAAACTAAATCCATGCTGGAGAAAGGCCCACACCGTTTTGTTTAGCTTAGAGAAGGCTCTGGGGAAACCTCATTGTGGCCTTCAAGTACTTGAAGGGAGCATATAAACAGGAGGGGGAACGGCTGTTTACATGGGTGGATGGTGATGGGACAAGAGGGAATGGTTTTAAACTGAGACAGGGGAGGTTTAGGTTGGATATGAGGAGGAAGTTTTTCAGCCAGAGGGTGGTGAGGCACTGGAACAGGTTGCCCAAGGAGGCTGTGGATGCCCCATCCCTGCAGGCATTCAAGGCCAGGCTGGATGTGGCTCTGGGCAGCCTGGTCTGCTGGTTGGTGACCTGCACACAGCAGGGGGTTGGAACTGGATGAGCATTGTGCTCCTTTGCAACCCAGGCCATTCTAGGATTCTATGATTTGCTGATCACCTCTGTTGGCTCGGTGCTCCAGAAACAGCTTTCAACCTTTCTGGGATTGTTAACTCTTACCAATTTTCAACAGGAAGCACAGATTCTCCCTAGAAAGGCTTTGAGACGAATAACAAAGAATGTTTCTCTCAGCTCCATTAAAATCAGCCCTCTGAGTCCCAGGCTGCAATTGCAGTCCAGAAGAAAACACAAAGCCCAGAAATCAGCCAGGCAGTGCTGACAATGACAGGGACTGCAGTAATCCTTGTCTGTTCCAAACTTCCATCAGCACGGGAACTTCACGTTAACAAGAGGCACGGATCACCTTTGATTTGTGCTCACGGGGATGCAGCATGTGTGCAAATCTCTCTTTCAGACTGAGCAAGGAAAGCAGCCAGCCTAGAGGCATTCAGAACATTTCAAAGCCACCACTGCCTATTAATCACAGCACTCATGTTTTTAACACACTAATAACCCCATCAAACCTGACACTTTCATATTCCCTCTTGGATTCGATACAATCCCAATACTTTAAAGATAAATAAGAAAGATTTTGGGTTCCAATGGTGACATCCTGCTCATGAACATTTAATGCAACGTGTCAAAGAATGGTAACAATTAGGGCTGGAGAGGCATTTTTCTTCTTTTCTTTCCCATTATTCCTTCCTACGGGTGAGAAGATGGGCCAGAGTAATGAAGTGATCTGTCACAGATCAAACAGCGACTTAGGAGTACAAACAGAAATAAAACTCTTATCTTTACAGCCTCTGCCACTGCAGTATCTACATAGCTCTTCCACATTTAAAAACCAAAACAGTTTCTCTTTTCCCTTAGCTTTGAATTAATGGATATTACACAGTTCATTCTTCCTTTTGGAAGAGAACACTCTTGTCTAGTAAAGAGCTCTTCCCAAATCATACAGCCCTTTTTTGTACAAGGCAGGAAGGGATTATCTGTTTATTGCTGGGTGACACTGAAACACGGACTCCTCCAATGGCTTCAAAAAGAAGTCAGAGTGCACTGGGTCTTGATGAGCAGATGTGCTGGAAGTAAAAAAGTCTTCAAAGTGATTCATTGAGTTCTGGCTACCAGAAAGTGTCAGAGACATCCCAAAATCTTCTCAAGCAGGCAGCTTGTCAGAGATACAACCAAACAGGCACTGGCCTTGCAGGTGGGTGATCCAGCACTCCGGAGCCTTGTGCTAACATCAGACCATTAGAGCAGCAAATGCTGTTTCTCTGAGTCACAGTCACGTGCTGCTCTTTCACAGATGCAAGCTGGGAATCTCTGGAACACGTTATTTAATTGCTCAAAAGTCTTCAATTTTTAACTTACTAAGAAAATATAAACAAATTTATTTTAGAATGAACTATAGAGTGCCACAATGCTCAGAAACCTGAGCAATTCAATTAACAGATGAAGCAGAAAGGCTGGGAAAACTCCAAATCACTCCAGCAGCAAAGAACCCTCAGCCTTCTGTCATTGCCAGCCAACTCCAAAGCTCGGGATTCGGCACATTTCTGTACACAGGCATCACCATCAGCACGAGAGGTCAGGACATGCCTCCATTTGCTTTGTTCCACACGACAGTGCACTAATGGTTCGTTGTGTTCCAGTAATTCTGGGGGAACCATCACGACGACAGAACCGTGCTGAGAATGACAGTTTGCCCCAAAGTTTGTGATGTGAACAGGCAAGAGGAGGATGGAGAAAATGAACTGAACACATCCAATACCAGCACACTGGTAGCTTGGGCATCAGGCAGGCTGACACCCCTTGACTTCACTGCTGTGCCTTACTTCGTGCTCTGTATCACCAGCACAGTGTACCCATCCAGCCAAGCTGCTGACACCAGCAGGCAGAGCACAAAGGGTATCAGTGTGGATATATCTGCACTGACTTTTTAAAATCCAAAGCATTTCCCACCACTAGAGCAAACAAAATAACAGATTTCACTTCTGGTGTGTGGATGGATCTTCCAACTCTTCAGGTCCAGGCTTCACCCATATAACATTTTGTCAATTCAGAAGCTGAGTCAAGAAACTTGGAAGCCAGCACTGAACTGAGATGAACTTAAACACTGTGCTAAACCCCTGCTGATGGGAAAAGCTATCCGTTCACGTTGGTAGAACTATCTTGATGGTGCTCAAAATAATCAGATGCCATACATAACGCACGCAAGAAGATTTCTGAGTCTGAAAAGGGAAGCAAAACCTCAGCAGTGGGGACATGAAGCAATGCGTACTCTCTGAAGTCCTTTGAATCTGATTCAACTGCTCCATCTGTCACCACTCCAACGATATGTTTTTATTCTAGGGCAGGAACATAGGCTGCAGAAACTCTCAGATACCTCTCCATCGAGCAGGCAGCAGAGTACTGCAGTGTTTGCTTTCACAAAATGTGTAAGAGGAGCAAACAAATAGCCAGCAATGAAAGTCTAACAAACTGCCAAGCAGACAATCCACAGCCTGGGCAGAGGCTTATTACCCCACAGAGGGTAGAAGGCTGAACAAAACTGAGAAGTAACCCAAGACTGATGGGAGCACACACCTCACACCTCCCACTGGCAATAAGATATCCTTCCACCCTCCGACTTGCTGTCTGTTGGATCAGTTTCCTTCTGCAGTATTTCCTGCTCTCCAAAGACAGCCCTGAAGGGTTAAGAAGTTTCTGCCAGGAAATTCATAGGAACACGCTGAAAGCACACATGGAAAAGCAACAGACTTGGTAACATGGCTTCGCTCTACCTTCCCAGAATCAAACCTGGCACCACTCCAACACACAGAGCTGACAGCAGCTCCCAACAGCTTCCTTTGCTCTTGACGAGTAGCCCTGGTTTGGTGATGAGCAAATTTCTTGTTTTTAAAACTCCTCCTGTGTGCTCTTATATTGGATGGGAGACAATGATTTAGACCAGCTTGATTTTAACTGAATTAACCACACCTACTGAAGTTAAGCCCGTTTCTAAGCGATCCTTTACTCTGATACTAATCGTGGCTCACGTTGTCAAAAAGGGAACAACAACAAATAGCTCCGAAATGGTGACAGGTTAATCTCAAAAAGGAAATGATGATCTGAAACCTGGCCTGAGCTCTGAATCTGACCCAAACATCTCAGTGCAGGACTCCAGTTAACCAAGTCAGCACAGAACAGGAGCTCCATTGCTTCACATTCTCTATGATTCACAGACAGTCCATGCAGACTTTCCAAGTACTTTAGCAATTTGTTTCACAGCCAAAAACCCCAGTGTTAACACAAGTTTTACCTGATCTGGCATGCTGGAATAAAAAATAAAGAAATTGATTTAAATGGTGCTTGCTTGGGTGTCACTTTTATTTATCACAGGTTTTGTCAGGGTGCTTCTGATTCTGATTCAGCATCAAATGTCTTTCCACTGACACCCAGCTCCTTGCAGCAGCTAGTTAAATGCATGGACAACCACATGACTTATGCTCTGGGTCGCTTCCCAGCCTCTGAATTTTGTATTCAGAAGCTATCAATTGCATCAAAACAAAATGCATAATGCAAAGTCCCTGAACTTTTGCATATGGAAGCACTGAAGGACTTACCTGCCAGTCTGTAGGATCTGCAGAACCGAAGGATGACTGAGTAAAGAGGCAGAGAGTCAATCAGGTCAACCAGCAAGTGGATCAGGCCTTGCACAACCACCACCAGCAAACGGAGCTAAAGAGAAACGGTTCAGTGAGCAACAGGAGATACAACCCCTGCAAATTCATCAGCTGCTCTGCACTCTGACACATAAGCTGAACTCTCCTGAGGTGAGCTTAAAAAGTCTAAAAGTGCTGGGTATCCAGTGCCTGTATGAGGTTTCTTAAGGGTCTAATTGCAGCGAAGCCTCACACTGGTAGATGCTGTGAGCCATAAGGACACGAGAGCAATTCCCCTTTCAACAGGCACAGTCAAAAAGGGAGATTTCATGCTTACAGTTCCAGTGAACTCCATCACTGCATCAGAGAATGCAAATTTCCCTTCCCAGCAGTGAGCTAAAATGCTTTATTTCTGACTGAAGAAACCCCACGTAGAGCATTTAAGCAAGAGCAAAGCAGTCAGAAATGAGCTTCCTGCTTAGCACTGTGCTGACTAAGGCTCCTTTTGTCAGACTGCATTTATTTTTGCTGTCAAGCTCATCTCAGAAGAAAGGGCTCATAAAAGATATTGAAATCATGTGAAGGCCACTGTCTGTGGAAAACACTGCTCCAGGCAGGCCATGGACAGGACTGGTCATATTGGAGAAAGAAAAGAAAAAGAAGGAAGTTTAACCCTCTCAGCAAAGCCTGGTGGAGAGCATTTAACACAGCAGGTTAACTTCTTGAAGAAGCTGTTCTGGATCAAACTGGAGAGGTCATCACCCCAGACGTGGGATGGAAAGACTGAAATGACTTCTGAGGGAAAGACAGGGGAACAGCATGTCCTGCTGCCCTGGATTTGCTGGGAATTCCCTTTGGAGAAACATCGACACGTACCCTGAATTGCACTTACTTGGTCTGCATGGGCTGTGTGACAGCTCCTCCTGGACACTCACACAAATCCTGTGTTTTCCTCGTGGATGACAGTAAATGACTAAGACACCCTTATATATCTCAGAAAAACAGCTACCTTCAAGGGTTAAATCTTACCAGGGTAAACACCAAATAGTACAGTGCAGTTGTAGGCAGAAGGAACAGCAGGATGGTAAATAGCAATGTGCCAATAAATAACTGGGGGAAAAAAAGAAACAAAATCATCAGCAGAACAATGGCAAAACAAAATAAAAGTAAGAGGGAATGCTGAAACAGAGAGTTTGCAAGACTCTTAACATTTTCTCTTAAATTCTCTATGTGAATAATTCTGCTAATATTTTCAGTTATTATTCTCTTTTTGGGCCTTTTATATGACTGTTTGAAAAGATCCTGAAAGCATTTGTTCCTTTATGAACAATGCTCAAGATTTCCTATATTAGGCTGGCTTCCTTAGGAAGCAAAGCTTCTGTGATTACACTGTTCAACCTTCCACTGCCTCTGTGAGCTTTAAAACCAGTGGTCTGTATTTTACTGGGAAAAAAGGGTGGAAAGTTGCAAAGAAGTAGAAATTGGGTGGGGAATTCTATAGATTTTTTTGTTCCTCCTTGGTTTGGGAGAACTGGGTTATAAGTCTTTCCAATGGGCAGCACTGGCCGGCCAAAGGACATCAAGGCTCTCGCTCAGTAGGTAACTGGGTGACAGAGTGACTGGGTGGGATGATGTAATATTTTGAGAGGAATAAGAAAAATCCATAGGAAAGCAGATGCCATTAGCTCCACTGCCCATGGAACTGGTTATTTTAATGTCAGGTTGGCTCAGCTGGCATAAACCAAACTAATTTCAACTGAAACCAATGGAGAGAGACAGATTTATGACAAATGGAGACCCAACTCTTCAATTCTCTGTTCTGGTGACTGAGAGGACACAGGACCAGGGGGCACTGCCATTTCTGCAGGAAGAGAACATGGCCACAGTGTGTTATAGAAGAAAACAGCCCTGTTGCAGAGGTGGATTGATGGCACAGCTTTATGCACACAACCAGACATAGGTGACAACCTGACCCGTCCCCTTCACAGCCGCTGTTTCTCCTCTCCTCTGTCACTCCACTGCAGTTCCTTAATGTCTTCTAAGACTTTTAAGGTCAGCTCTGAGTGTCTCATCCCACCCAGGCCAACAACACAACTCCTGTGAGCAGCAGGATAGAGCCTGGAGGGCCAAACCAACCCTCCTCGGAGGGAGAGCCTGATGTAAACCATCATCCTGACAGACACTCTGACTTTTCCATCACCAAGGAAAAGAGAAATCCCTCTGCTGCGGTGGTATGAGAAGCCAGAACTCATCTGCTGAACACAGAGAGGCACCTGGGGGGTCACCAAACATCACTTTATTATTTCAGTGATGTTTGCAACAGTAGGTTTGGCCCAGCCTTCCTATGGCTCTGCCCAGCCTTCCTATGGCGTTGGAGGATTTCATAAGAGGTTACAGAATCTGACAGAAAAACAACAACTGCCTCTGCTGTTTGAGTGAGAACGTGTGGGCCACCAGGCTCCAGCTTAACGTGAATGAAGGGGGGCTTTTTCATAGCAGCACTGGCAAGCCTGTTCCTATGGCAACACTGCTGGGCACTGCCTCCCTCCCCCGTGCCTACTCTGTGCTGAGAGCATCTGCAGCACCCACAGAGCACAGTGGGCACCTGCCAGCACCGCCCCGGGCACACGGGGAAGCTGCAAACCCAAGGGTCACACAGCCATAGGATGCCCTGAGTTGGAAAGGACCACCAAGGATCACCGAGTCCAATCCTCAGCCTCTGTAACCAAAGCAGCCAGGATCATGCTGCCTGCCTGTAGCAAGCCCTGGTGCTGCAGCACTACCTGGTCCAAGTCATAGGAGCAGGAATCCACCCGCTGCCGGAGGACGTTCCACTTCTTCCCACGGAACAAGCGCCAGAGAGACGACAGGCCATAGATCTTCAGGCAGTAGAGTCTGAGCAAAGAGAAAACGCCACACATCAGAGCTGTGAGCTCCCGAGCCTCAACACAAAGCAGCTGTCATCACGACACCCCGTGCCCACCAGCTTACTGATGTCACAGAACTCGGGTTGGCAAAAGAAATCAACCCTGAGAACGATGCAGATAAAATGTTGATTGCTCAGTCAACCAACTGGGGCTGCCCCCTGCTGCAGGCAAGGAAGGCTGCTGCAGGCAGTTCTGGGCGACTGTGGGGCAACCACTGTGCCATGCCTCATGGCTACAGCCAGGCTGATTCTCTGCTCTTGGTGATGAAGAGGTTGGCACACCCGAAGTGCCAAGTTCTGCTGGAGGTGGCCACAGTGAGCAGCCATTGCTACCGCCCTCCCTGCAGCAGGAGCAGCAAGCTTATCCCCTGCATCCCACCTCTGTTTCTTCAGATTTCCTCTTTTCCCTTCACTCCACCCTTTTCCACAGCAGGAGCACCCAAGGCCTTGCTTGCACTTGAGTCAGCATGATTTAATTTTGCCTCTGCAGCACAGAGGTGAGGAGGAGGAATGGAGCACTGCACCTTCATCCACAAGAGTGGGAAAAGATCAACTCAATGACTGCTGGCACCTCTGCTGAATCCTCTCCCATGGCTTTGGGAACTTGGTGCTATGACACTTGGAACTACCCAAGGAAATGGCAATGTGAGAGGCGTGAGGTGATGAGAGATGAGAAGTAGAGACACCTACAGAACAACACAAAGAAAGAAAGAATCCCTGGAAGGGAAAAGAGGGACAAAGAGCCTCAGAGAGCAGGAATGTAAGGAAGGGAGACAGACCCAATCTACGGAGAAGAACAGAGCTTGGGAGAGCCTAACCTACAGCAGCCAGACTGGTTAACCAGCCTACACAAAGCACCAAGGCTGCTCAGGCTTCAAGATGGCATTGTGAAAGCAATGGCAAGGAGTCTTATCCCAGAGAAGGATTTGGTCTGAGGAACACCAGCTGCTTCAAGGATGAGGCAGGTGCCCCAGCTCAGTGCACTCATCTCCAGGCCAGAGGGTCCCCAGCAGGTTCCTGCAGCTTGCTGCTGCACACCATCCATGGCTCCTGCCTCTCACCTGCATACCTGCTTTGACACCATGCAGGTGGACCTGATGGAGCAGCTGCCCCACCTTTGCTGCTGCCTGTGCACACACGCCAGCTCTTGTTTCACTGGAAAGTCTATTGTGGGTGGGTGCTCGGACTTCACCAGCACCCAACCCAGCAATTTGTTCCTCCAGCTGCAGGAAGGCAAGGTGTTGTGGTGATTGTGCTCATGTGGGTGAGTGGTACCCCCTCCTGACAGCTGACGCAGCAGGGACAGTTTGGTGCCAGCAGTAAGATAACATATAGCTGTTCCATACTTCTAACAGCCCAGGCTGGTAGACTGGCTCCCTGCAGCTCACAACAGGAGAGCAATCAGCAGAGAAAATGCTTTTCCTGTTTCCACTCACAAGCAGAAGGGACAAAGACCCTCCTCACAGTCCAGAGAAATTCCAGAAAACTGGAACTGTTCATAGAATCATAAAATCATAGAGTCATAGAATGGCCTGTGTTGCAAAGGAGCACAATGCTCGCCCAGTTCCAACCCCCTGCTGTGTGCAGGTCACCAACCAGCAGCCCAGGCTGCCCAGAGCCACATCCAGCCTGGCCTTGAATGCCTGCAGGGATGGGGCATCCACAGCCTCCTTGGGCAACCTGTTCCAGTGCCTCACCACCCTCTGGGTGAAAAACTTCCTCCTAAAAGCAGGAAATCCTTTTTTTCTCCGGTTGAGAAGAAACTCTGTGTTACCATCAGTACTGACTTCAGGTGCAAGTCCTATACTCACAACAGAAGCAACTCATAAATTGTATCTCAGTATAACCATTCCCTAAGCTAGCTGTAACTGAAGTTCTACCACTTCCTCTGTTGTTTGCAACATGAAGCCCTCTGCTCACAGCCTGCAGAGGAATGACGGCAGTTCTGCACTTTATCAGCCAAAGGTTCCCCTACTCATTACTTTGCCTCTCATCTCCTTGGCAAAAGCAGCTGCTTCTCAGTGCTCTGCGTGATGCTTTGCTGCAGCACTTGTTAATAGAAGGCAGGAACAAAGCATGTTAGCAGGCACAGCAATTCCAATGTCCAGCACAAGGCATGCCCCAAAGTCCTCTGCACTCCCACATGCTCCCTCAGAGCCTCTGTCCCGCTTTCAGGCAGTGAGGCCCTGCAGTATATCCAGAAAATGCCAGCAGGATGGTGGCATAGCCATGCTGCACCCCTAGAGCTGCCACCCATGATGCAGATTGGAATCCCTGAAGCCAGGCAGAGGCAGAGACTTCTGGGCCTCTCCAGAAGAACAAGGGTTCATTTCTCCTTTCCAGTTTTCTGAACTGAGCAGGGTGCCACTGCAAAGTACCATGAAAGGTTAGGGTGAACTTGCCCTCCACCTATCAGAGTTTTATTTTTCCAGGTCACTACCACAAGTCAATATTTAAAGATACAAAAGAATCAAAAGGTAGATTGTTTGCACTGCTGTGACTATCATTTCTACATGCATTAAAAATGCAATAAATTAACTGCTGCCTTAAAGTGTGAATTCAAGAGTACTGTGCTAGGATTGAATGCAACCTGGGCATTCAATGACGCCTGGGCCTGGGATCAGAATGTTAATTGTCTCATAGATTCCAGTATGTTAACTTGTAAGTTCTGTGGATTCCTTGGTGAGAAATCAAGCCACAGCAGCCCCACGTATCCCCAGTACCTGCTGTTTGCTTTCTGTATTTTGAGGGTCCATCTTGTCGTTGACTTGTATTGTTGACTCCATCTTGGAGTCAAAGCTTCTTGCTTTGACCAAAACACAGCCAAGAGAGATTAACTCACCTCGCTCCATAGACATAGAAGCAGTAGATGTGGAAGGTCAGAAGTGCAATGATGTCAGAGAGGATGCAGAGAGCCACGGTCAGACCCAGACAAGCTGACAGACCAACATACCAGAGGATCATCTCGATGAATGGGGACATCAGGTGAATGTAGCCTGGTAGACATCGCAGTGTCAGGATTTCAGTGAGACATCTTCCCTGTTCACATTGTCAAAAGACTCATTTTCTCTCTGTCCCATTTCTCCCCAGTGTTCAAACATTGCTCTAGAAATCATAGCCACCAAACCACAGGAAAATTCTTTTGGATGGCCATTTTCTGCTTCGGAGAGCCAGCAAAAGCTCCTTCCCCCTAGGCTTACGTCCAAGTATAGCAGCTATGTAAGGACAGGCTCGGTTTCAACAGAGCAGTCACCTTGCTCCACACAGGATTTACTTCTTTAGATTTGCATTCAGTTCTAATCATGTTTTTAACCACACACGTCAAGCTTTACTGAAGCCATCTCCCTTTTCTTCCTATTCCCACAAAAAAACATGACAAATGAATTCTGCAAAATAAAAATGTGGAGACATACAGTGTCTTTCATCACTGATGTGGAGCAAAGTAAATATAATATCTAAGGAGTTTGTTCCCATCGTAACTGTTCTCCATCATCAAGACATTTATCAAGAATAACTGGGGTGTGTTACTTCAAGGAAGGAATACATACAGAAAAGCTCTAAAATCTGTGTACTGAGTCAGTGGTAGGGCAGGTTTGCATTTGCATCCAGAGAGCACACTTCTTCCTATCAAATGCCACTTAGAGCTGGCATAAGACCTAAAACCTTCCCTTGGACACTCAGTGCTAATGGCACCAAGTAAGTGAGGTCCACTGTGACTTGCACTTCTTGCAAAACATCAGGACAAGCACTTTATTTCATATGCATGACTTCCTTGTGTGGGAATCCAGCTCTGGCTTGAGTTCCCACAGCAGAAAGACTCACAGACAAGTTTGTACTTGCAGCAGTGCATTTTGATTCATTATTCACCTCTAGGCAAACATGAAGCACTTAGGAGGGAAGAGATGAAAAGGGAGGCTGAAATGTGAAACAATTGCACTTACTAATCCAGAGATGGATGTGGTAAAGGAAGAACCGACCCAGCACCTGATCCAAAGCTCGGTTCATTTTCAGCCCAGCTGGTGCTCCCATCAGCCACTGGAGCAGGTCCTGCAGCTCTTCAGCTACGTGCTGCAAACACAGAAACAAGCACGGAAACAACCTGAGATAAAAGATGTCCATCACATCAAACAGGTCCAGTGTATGGAACGTGGTACCCTCCGCCAAGTATTCTCACCACATCCTTCGAAGCAGTGGGGAAAAAAATCCAAACGGCTGCTCTGTAGACAACGACTTACGTTAGGGATGCACCTTTATGAGCAAATGACTTTTTACTGAACCTGAGCATAACAGCAGAGAGGAAGCTGAACTGCTTAAATGGTTCCAGTGCTGGCAGCATGAACTCGTGTTTGCTCGTGGCCGTGGCTGGTAGACTCACAGTGTGGTTTCATGGTGTAATGAGTGTTCTTGAAATCCATGGCCAATGCTGGAGCACAGACCAACTTCATTCAGCAGACAACTGAAAAGTCAGAACTGAGGGAGTAATCTAACCATGGGGAGGGCAGTTGGGAGTTAGAAAGGGGCATGGAGGGTGCTCATGGAAAAACAGGTGATTTTTCAGTGAAATAAACTGTGTGTGTGTACAGCAGGATAGAAAACACAATTACATAAATTGTTCAGTAGAAACAAATTTCCTTTTACTCTGTTGGGCATTAGGCAAGAAGAAACACGGTGTGTAGCACCAATCTTGCCCATCATTATCTCATCTGTCTTGCAGGCTTTGTGGAGAGATACTCACAGCATCCTAGGGAAAAAGAAGCCCTCAGTCATTGAGAACAAAGCTGATGGAGTTCATTCCCACATCGCTGAAGGCTTTGACTTGCTATTTCTGGTGATTTAATACCTTTATGAGGATGGACAGTGATAGGACAAGGGGGAATGGTTTTGAACTGAGACAGGGGAGGTTTAGGTTGGATATTAGGAGGAAGTTTTTCACCCAGAGGGTGGTGAGGCACTGGAACAGGTTGCCCAAGGAGGCTGTGGATGCCCCATCCCTGCAGGCATTCAAGGCCAGGCTGGATGTGGCTCTGGGCAGCCTGGTCTGCTGGTTGGTGACCTGCACACAGCAGGGGGTTGGAATCAGATATTTTGATCCTTTTCAACCCAGGCCATTCTATGATTCTATGACCAAATTATTGATGAACTTTCTCTCTGTCCTACACTACTTGGCCTGCAGTAGGCAGGGCAGAAGATGCTGTGCCTTCCCAGCAGTGTGTGCCTGAATGACCCACCTACACTGAAATAAATGGTGAAGTTCATTTACCAGGCTGTGAATTGAAGCAGCTGAAAACAGTAACCTCCAGCAAGCAGATGGGAACAGACCTGGAAGAAGGGGCCTTGCATACAGTTCCACAGAGACTGTAAATGAAATTCCACCTCTGAAAATCCCAAATATAACCAAGCCCATGTGAGCTTCAGTGCAAATTGTGCACATGCAGCAGAATCAAGACCTGAAGCTGATGTGCTGCAGCCTACCCTCCCTACCTCCATAGGGGAAATGTTTTCCATGGACCAATTCCATTTTATTAACCAACTGGATCATTGCAAAATGGGTTTGTGCGCATTTATTCTTAGTGTAGTGGTAAAATTCAGAGCTCTACCTCCAGCCTACCCCAATTTCCCCTTACTAGCAGGACTGCCTATTTATTTCATTCATTTTCCCTCTGTCTCAACATCTCGCTGCGAGTCAGAACTGATTTGAACCCACAGCTCTTACCTCCATGCACAGCACTGTTAGCTACTTTATAAATAGGCTGGCTTTAATATTTAAAGTGTTGGATTTGTAACTTAGAAAAAGCATTTGAGGATTTTAATGAAATATTTAAATGCTTGAAAGCAGTCCTTCAGCAGCAAGGCTGTTTTCCAGCACTGAATGCTTCTGGAGGTTTCCAGTTCCAGAGATGTCACTAAATTCTGACAGTGGCACGTAGCTCTGGGAAGGTGCCCAAGCTTCCTGCTATTTAGCTGGGCAGAGCATCTCCAAACACATTCCTAAAGCATAACCTTGCAAGCTGTTTTGCAGCCAGATATTTTAGGACTGATCAATAGCAAGCAAGAACAAGAAAAGGTGACTGGGAGTCTAATCCTCCTGTTGCAGTCATGCGTACTGAATGTGACCAGTATTAATAAATGAGAAACAGTGAATTACATGGAAGTGGTTTCGTAAAAGAGGGTAAGGACATCACCAAAGCAGAGACTACAGCTAACACGGCTTAGAAGAGGCGGCTGTGGAAATATTTCCTTTACAGCCATGCTTTTCTCGTTTGTCTCCACATGCAGCATCCAATGGCAATGAGACATTGATGGAGAAAGACACACAGCCCACTGGACAGGGGCACTGTGGGCACTGGAAAGTGCAGCATAAGCTTCCTGAGTGGAGCATCTAGTGCAAGGCAGAGCCAAGGCACTCCCCACCAGGCACCTACCTGTGATTTTACCAATTAACATCGAAGAATATTTTCCAGGCTGCATCCTCTCTGCTGGCTTTGTTTATGGATTACAGAACAGAACTGAACAGGAACTCACATCCAATTATCTCTAAGCCCCAGCAATACTTTTGGAGGCAAGATCTACGATAAATATTTACATGTTTCAAGGAGATTACAGCTTAAGGAAAAGAGAGATCGGTCAGGAGGCAAGAAGTGAAGGAGGAGAAAAAGAAAGAGGGTTTGTAAGCAGTTCTTCAATTTAAACCAGAAAAATTGAGCACTTTGAATTGGGTATTTTTGTGGAAGGCAAAAACAGGGACTGCTGTTGGGAAGCCTGGTGGGAGGGAGAGGAAGGAGGAGTTGTGAGGGCACCCACAGAGAGAAGAGTATTAGCATTTTCCATGCTTGGTTTTGAAAGCCTACTCCAAAATCAGCCCTTTCTATTGCATGCAGCTACTCCCTGGTTACTCCCTAGGTGTCTGAATCACATCTGCTTCAGTTACCAACAAAAGCAACTTGTTATTACAGTCAGCACAGCACAGCTCATCAAGCTGTGAAAAGTGGGAGCTGCAGTCAATTGCTAGCAAAGTGCTGATTTGGGAACCATTGTATCAGGGGTTGACGAATGATGGCTAAGGAACATGGCTTGGTCTTCACGTCAGCAGGCTGGGCTTGAGAGCCTGGCAGTTGCTGAGAGTCAAAATAACCAACGTGCATCTGTTTCTTCCCACTGAGATGGTTACTAGGAAAAAAAAAGTGCAGTTTCCAACCCCCAGACTGCTAAAGGTTTATCAGTATTAATATCAATGACACCAATAAGGTTTTAGGTTATATTTTGTCAAGATTAAAATCAATCAAATCCATAAGGTTAAAAAAAAAAAAAGTTGTACCATGTTATGATAAGATTATTAATATATACCTATCCATCCCATGTTCTGTTTACTAACATATACAGAGATGTAAGAAGATCAATATCATCACCAGGTCTGGGGCTCACCAAAAGCAGAACAGCAAAGAGCAACGGGGAAGGAAAAGGGAAAAGTAACTCATTCTGCACATGGGAAAGTTAGCATTGCTGAACTTGGCAATGTATAAGCACTTGAGAAAGCTCAAGTGATGGGAATAATGTGTACCAGATGGACACTCAGCAGCAAAATGGAAACCTACTGTTGGATGGCTAAGGGGAGATTTTGCTGTCATGCTGGAAAAGAAGTGGTGCTGGCTTGCATACCACATGCTGAAGTCATTGGTATATTTTGGGATCGCTCAGAACTGCATTTTTAAGGCCTGCACATAATGCACATAAATCAATGCCCACCAAAGGCAGTAAAAGGACTCCAAATGATTTTATGCCCACAATCTAATACGCTTGGAAGGAGAAAGCAAGAAAGTAAGAGGAGTTAAGTGGCCTGAAATGATAAGCTTGGTGATGGAGCAGAGAAGAAAGGCACTGACAGCCAGGCTGCCCATACAAAAGGGAGTGAACACTTCCAGGCAAGTAAGTAAACAGCTCTTGGTGATACTGAGGTAACGAGGTCTACACATATAGAAGGCTTGGTGAAAATAAGTGACGTTACGATATATATGCAGAGTGACAGATGAGCTAAACTTCTAAGAGAGGAAAGAATGAGCAACTCTCACAAGCAAGCCTGTCCAGACCAGGTGCTGGGATCAGATACACCTTGAGCACAGAGAAAGCCCATCTGCCAAAGACACTGGGCAGATGGAACCCCTCCTGGAGCCACCTGTGCAAACAGGAACGCTGCCAAGAGCCACTTCCTTGCAGACTTGTTAAGAAATCAGATTTTTGAGAGCTGGACACTTACAGTAATCACACAAGGAGAGCTTCAGAGAACTTAAGCTTTTTCAGCTGAAATATCTGGGTCCTGATAGATGAAAAACTTAATATGAGCCAGCAGTGTGCCCTTGTGGCTCGGAAAGCAAATGGGATCCTGGGCTCCATCAGCAGAGGGGTGGCCAGCAGGGACAGGGAGGTGATTGTTCCCCTCTGCTCTGCCCTTGTGAGGCCCCATCTGCAGCACTGTGTCCAAGTGTGGAGCCCCCAGCACAAGAAAGACAGGGAGCTGTTGGAGAGGGTCCAGAGGAGCCACAGAGATGATCAGGGGACTGGAGCAGCTCCCCTATGAGGACAGGCTGAAGGAGCTGGGCTTGTTCAGCCTGGAGAAAAGAAGGCTGCAGGGTGACCTCATTGCAGCCTTTCAGTACCTAAAGGGAGCCCACAGACAGGAGGGGAATCAACTCTTTGAAAGGTTAGATAACTGCAGGACAAGGGAAATGGTTTGAAGTTGAGGGAGGGCAGATTTAGGTTGGATGTCAGGGGGAAATTTTTTACAGAGAGAGTGGTGAGGTGCTGGAACAGCTGCCCAGGGAGGCTGTGGATGCCCCATCCCTGGAGGTGTTCAAGGCCAGATTGGATGGGGCCCTGGGCAGCCTGTTCTAGCATTAGGTGGGATGGTTGGTGGCCCTGCCATGTGGTGGGGGGTTGGAGATTCATGATCCTTGAGGTCCCTTCCAACCCTGGCAATTCTGTGATTCTGTGATCTGTAAGGGTGAAGATTTAGGAATAAGATGTAAAGAAGATCTTCAGTTTATAGCTCAAGTAGTTCAGGAGCACGTGTGCTGCAGAAGAAATGTCCTTCATACCCCATCACTGCTGCTGAATAGAGTCTGCATCAATCCCTAAAATGTGCAATCCTCTAAAGTTTGACTACAACAAATAGCAGAAATAGCAGGAACATGACCCACAGCTATGCTGGATCTCCAGACACACTCCACACACATTTTCTGAAAGCACAGTGTGCATGAGAATGATCAGAAACATATGGCTTATGACAACAGAAGTGTTAGACATGGACCAAACAGATCACTGTTGAGGGAACCCAAGAAAGGCAGGACAAGTAGCAAAAAATAAACTGCTGATGGAATTCTCTAATCAGAATAAAATTCCTCCCTGGAATTTCCCACTTTGCTGGAGAAAGAGCAAAGACGATGACCTCCAGCTGCCAGAAAAAACAATGGAAAGATCCACAATCTCTCCCAGAAGTGTAGGAAAAGTGGGCAGAGAAAGCATTAAGCTGTGCAGCTCTATGGCAGTGCTTGACCCTAGCTACACATGTATTCCCTAGATACAGAAGCTCTAAAATCAGAGCTAACTTCAGATTAATAGTCTGGCCTCCAGCCTCTGAAGTGCATTATCTGTTCCTTACTGCCACTAAACAGATATATTGGAGTGATGCACTTAAAGCAAGCCACCAGAAAAGCAGGATAGTATGAGTCATGCTTGTTCTTTGTGAATTTATGCTGATGCTGAGGGATCTCAGTGGGCAAGAAGAGTTATGTCTGAGAAGAGCACAGGACACAGCAAGTTTTTCTGGTTTACCATCTGCACATCAGAATTCTTAGGATTTCAGGTGTTTGCATCCTGTCTAGCTAATGCCTTTGGATTTCCCCATAATTTTCCTTTTCACTGGCACAGTTGCATGCTTATCAAGTTCGACTTTTCAGTAGTTTATCAGATTCAGTGCAGGTTACAGCTGGCTTTTACCAAATGCCCCATAAAGCAACAGCTTGAGGATACTTCTGTGAACTTGATAACCACTCCAACTTGCAGCTGCAGAACTCTGCCCAAGCCATAATTGTTACTTTGGGAACTAGAACAGCCCTCCAGTAAGCACCTAATTACTATTCACTGCACACTCAAAGCAGAGCTGTGTTCTTTTTGAGCAGCCCCAGCAGGCTTGATTTGAAGATTTCACTGTTCTTGAGGAGACCCAATTTACATGACTTCGGACCAGACTCTTTGAAATCCTTGTGTGTAAGGCAGTGCCTCCCTACAGCCACCCCAGGCACCAGGAGCTGGTCAGGACCCAGAGAAGGTGAGAGACGAATGGCTCCAGCCATACTTACATCAGCCACAGGGATGAGAGTGTCAGCAAGGTGACCGATCTGGTTCTTTCTGTACAGCCAGGACATTAGCAGTATCCCCAGAGCCACATCAATCAGCAGAGAGACAAAGATGTTGGCTTTCCTGCATGCAGGATAAAAAGAAACAGCGTTAGAGCAAAAGGAAGGACAGCACCTAAGGTTTCAATGGCAGCCGTTGGCTCCACTTACATAGCACCTTTCTTGTCCCAGGGACACCAGGATAACTTAGGAAAGAAACACGGTGCAGAAATCTTTTGATTTTCACTGACCTGCTGCTACTTCTGTGGCTGAACACCAAGGCACTCTGAGCCCATCACCACATGAAACCTCTTTTAGTAAGGGAAGAGAATAGCAGGGCTGAAGCTACAGAGCGGAATGTTGGACAAGGTGTGTATGTATTGTGTATATTACACCTATGTACACTCAGTGGGAATTCAACAATCCCAAGGGCACCAGCACTTGGAGGATCCCCATGGAGATCAGATGGCTTTCCAAAAGATGTAGTTCAGTTGCAATCAATGCAATCAGTTGCATCCCTGGGCATGTAAGCAACTCCAGCAGTGCTGTGGAACTGCCCCTGACTGCTAGTGGGTCTGAAGGAAATTCTATTATGTGAGTTCTTCAGGCTAAACAACCACAGCTACATCTGGCCTTCAAATCTGCTAATTTAAGTGTTCTCTGGTAGTCTATTTCCCCAGGCTCAGAGAACCACACAGAACAAGACTCGCTGTGTAACTGCCATAGCACATTCAGTATCTGTGTCAGATCCCCACCTCTCCTGTTCCACTCACTGCACTGCACGTTTGCTTTTTGTTACACTGACTTCCTCACTGCCTTTGGAGCCTCTGATCTCCAGTTACTGCATGAAAGGAGCAGGCAAAAGAGGGCAGCAACTAAACCTTTCTGCTCTTTTGGAAAGCGCTGCTGAATACCAACGGTAGCTTTTGGTTAACCTTGGCAGCATGCATGCAAGCAATGAGCTTGTGGAAGTACTGACAGCAAGGCACTATCCACAAGGGTGCAGTACAGGCTTTCTGTGGGCAAGATCCCAGCCGTCCTTCCCAGAAAAAAAAGCCTGGCAAAAAGACATAGGCAGGATAAAAGAGTGCACAGGGAAGATATCTGCAAAGTACCAGGGAGCAGAGCAGGCAAGGTAGCACGACATGGCACAGCGAGGATCCTGCAGTGCTGATCTGCCAGCCAGGCCAGTCTCAGAGCCCTGTGGCAGGCACAGGAGCCACAGTTTGGGTTCTCCAAAGGAGACGGGGCCATGTGTGTCGTTGTGTGCATTCCATACCTCATTAGCTGGGTCTGGTTTTGAGCCTTCTTGCTGCTGCTGATGACCTGGAGGTGCTGCAGGCGATGGCCCAGCTGCTCACAGGTTGACAGTTTGCTCCACAAGAAAGACAAAGGCCAAAACTTCAGCACCCTGTAGAAACACAACAGGAACATCCCCTTTGGCTTCTGCCTGCATGCTGTTTGTACAAACTCCATGCAAAACATTTAGTGTAAAGCGAAGGTTATGTAACCAGAAACAGCACTGACATACTCAATGTCAACAGCCACTTCAGGCTCAGAGGAGGGAACACTCACGTGTTGTTTTTTTCCTTTGACTGAGAAGAAATGCACGAAATGATGCTCAGTTCTCTTTGTTGCCACACAATGCACAAAAGAAGGAACAACTGTTCCAGTTGACACGTGGGATACAGGTTTGTCAAAGAGTGCCCAGCAGCAGCGCAGTGACACAAAGCACCACGGCTGCTGTGGGGAATAAACTCTGATGCTGATATAATTGGGATCACTTCTTTCCTGTCCACAATGGTCACTGCACTCACTAGAAATCTATCTCCGCTTTCAGTTACCTCTTTCACCTACTCACTTGTACTGTGTTGGCACGCTCCTTCAGTTTACATTCCTTCCAAATGCTAAAATTATTCCTGGGATTCTGCTTCCCTTCTGAAATTGTACAGCTGTTGGGTCCATTAGTGAGTGAGGCCTGCAGACTTCCATGAATGTCTGCATGGCTCCCCTGGCCCCTCTGGGAGGAAATCAGCCTGCAGCACGGCAGCAGAGGCCTCCAGGACCAGCCTCTGCTTGCTGGTACATTTTACACAAATTGCAGCATTACAGCTGGTTCCAAATCCTGCTTGGTTTGCTGTGGTTGCTATACCCTTCCTCCTCACACCTTCCCAAGCCCTTTTGTCCAGACTTCATGCAAGGTTCCTCACTTTAACAAATAGTGCTGAAGTCCTTTTTCCCCTCCCCATTCAACTTTCAGACGTATTGATTCCAAAATGCACACAGCATACTGTGAATCATCCTTTTTAACTTGAGAGTTACTCAGCTCTCCATCTCAGCCTCCCACCTTAGAGACAAATGAGTTCAGCTGACTTACCAGCACACTTCATCTAAAGTGATGGAGAAAAGAGCTCCATACAGGAGAGATGCAGCTTGGGCACCTGTGCTGCCCACCTCAGAGACATCTGCAGACTCACAAAAGCTGTGGACCTTCCCTTCCCCTTCCCCTTCCCCTTCCCCTTCCCCTTCCCCTTCCCCTTCCCTTCCCTTCCCTTCCCTTCCCTTCCCTTCCCTTCCCTTCCCTTCCCCTTCCCCTTCCCCTTCCCTTCCCTTTTCCCCTTCCCTTCCCCCAGTGCCTCCAAGTCCCAGCCTGGAAAACCTCAGCTACAGCACAGAATTGTTCCACTTACACTTTTTCTTTGTCAAGTCAGTACGCACACATTCATTTAAATAAAAATACAAACATGCTGCATAAAGCTTGATATAATAGTTGCAAGATGTGCTATGGAAACTCCCATCTGCAACAGTAACGAGAAAGAAAGCCAAAAATATTTCTTGCGTGGTCTCCTTCCCTATGCAGAGCAACTCTGCATCGCCTTAGATGCTCCCACCTGTTTGTCACACAGTGTATGCAATGATTTTTGTTAAGTGCAATGGAAAACCAATCGTATACATATATATATATTTGCTTTATTTAAACAGCAGGAGACCTTTGGGGTACTTCCAAACAGAAGGAAATAAATTAACACAGCCTACAGGAATAAATCTTCAGTTTCCAGTACTTTTTTTTTCCCCAGGGCTAAGGGATTTTCCAGATATCAGATGGAAAGCAGTCTTTGGGGCCCAGATCACACACAGACATTACAGCCCCATTAAGCAGAGCCCCCTGGCTCTCTTTTTGCTCTTTCCTAGAAACCACAGGAACAAAGCCTCCCTTCTGGGTGAGGCATCAGACAGAGGTCCTGGTGTCATTAAGAGCATGGCAAGAGGGCTTTTAGAATAAACAAAGCGTGGCATGGAGTTTATTACCCCAATACAAACCATCCTGCTGCTCCAAACAGCTCCCTGGAGCTTGCCTGCGGTGGGGAAATTCTGCACGCTCTGAATGCTGAGCTGCAGTGGGCACTGCTGAGCACCAGGTGGTGCTGAAGAAATGCCTTCATTTGAGATCAGAGCGCTTTTGGTGAGGTCGGATTGATGTCAGCGCTCACCTTCTCTGATTTCTAACGATACCTCCCCATTTACTCAGCACAAACAAACAACACAGGGCTCCGCAGCAGCCCCAGGACTCTGCAGCCTGAGCGGATGTCACTGAACTCCTCCTCCTGCTCTTCAGATCCAACTGTCCCTTAGGATCACAGAGATCTGGGGACAAAAGTAGTACTGCAGTGTCTGCAGACAGAGAAGTTGTCAGAGCAAAGGCAAGAAGGAGACTTCAGAGCTGAGAACCCATCACCAAGCTGCCCATGGGAAGGACCTTCCCTTTCCCCAGGCAAACAGCGACCTGTCCACAAGGCACCCGAAACATGATGTACCCATAGCTCATTTTCTCTAAGTTAAAGCCTGGGTGACACGAAACCCTTCAAGTGTTTTGTGTCATCAAGTGAAAGCAGGCACCCAAGAAGCCTCACTGGGGAATGGCTCCATCACCAACCAGTCCCATTTCAGGCCCTGTCTCCCTCTGCCCCTGTTGCCTCAGAGAGGTCTGGGCAACAAGGCATCCTCACCTTCCTCCTCCAAGAAGATCCAACCCCCACAGAAACCAAGGAAACCATCCAAAGCAGCTATCCTGAAGCAGGTGGTGCTTCAAGAAGTATCCCTGATCCAACAGCAACACAACTGCACGGGAAGGAGGGGACTGGTAGGACGTTTACACGTGCCATCCTTGAACCCCTCTTGCACTGCAGATATTCAGCTGTACTACACACCAAGTGGTAAATGGAACTAAACTGCATTGAATGACTTAGAAGGTCGAGCAGAATCTCCGCCATAATTCGAGGCACCTCCTCTAAGAATGATACTTGAAACCACTGAAAAATATCATGCAGGTGCTACAGGTGAATAAAACAAAAGCAGAAATAAACCTCCAACTACGTCTCAAGGTTAAGAACAAATTCAGCCCAGGTCTAAGCACAGCGAGCCTTGCATTCTGCCTGCTGGTATCTGCAGCTGGCTGCTGGCAAAGCTGCTGCTTGGGCTTCAAACATCTGCACTGGGCTTAGTAACAGCTGAAATTAGAATTGCTGCTGATAAACACGCTGTGGCTTTCTGTGTCCAGCCTGCCAGGCTGCAAGGAACGGACTCAAACTCCCAAGTTATGCTTGGGCTTTGGCCTTTTGGAGACCTGTGAGACTTGGGCTTAAGTCTGAACCCTGATGGGCCTGGATAGAAAAGGATCACCCTGCTTGTTAGTCGTTGAACACAGCCCATGCACGGCCAAAAAAAAAGGACCTTCAGAGCTGACTTCAATCTTCTACCCAATCACAAAGCTCTGCCTTCACTTCCACTTACAGCCAAGTGCATGGTCAATATCTACACAGCCACACCAGCAGGCCCTGGTGGTTCCTGATTACAACAGGTTGTGTTCTGACCCTAAATCTCTTCCAGCAAAGTAGTCCAAAAATGGAGAGTTTTCCCTTCATGTACCAATGCACATAACCCAACTGCTCAGCAAATCTCTGCATATGAAGAGCTGCGCTGTAATTTTTCATGACAGCATCATACAATTAGAAACCTGTTAAAAGAGTCTGCTCCCTGTACCCTCAGGCTGCACTTGAGAAGATTTAACCATGACTACAGCAGTAGCTGTTATCCAAATCTGATCAATCAAAGTGTCCCCTTGCAGCTTGGAAGCTGATTTCCAGCACCCGCTCTGGCATGCTGGCACTCACCAGGCTGGCTGCTGGATGACCAGCTGTGTTATTCAGCATTGGATGCAAAAGCTCCTGCCCTTCAAATCTGCTCAGAATTCCTCTTTAGAGCACGTACTTGCCACGCATTACATTTCAAGCATCCTACTCAGTTTCGCTGTTGTCACAGCAGGATCTCACCAAGGCTTCACACAGACCAGCACTGCCTGCAACCTCCTATAGGTCCAAGAGGTGATGGGTTCAGACATACTATTAAATCATCTATTTAGCCAGTGAGGTTTCCACAGCAAACAGGGACTGAAGAGTCTCAGCTATCGAGCCATTAAGAAAACCCTCACATCAGTCTGTCAGCCACATCGTAGTTGGAAAACCATTTCAGCCATTATGAAACTGAAGCAGGGCTGAGCTACCCCTGCTGCACATGGGCAACAGCTCACTGCCTCCCCAGAAAACCTCCCCACACCTCCAGGTGTCTGAGGGTTTCTGCCTCGTGCTCTCAGTGGAATTCCCCATGCTTTCAGAGCAGCTCTGCAGCAGCCTGTTTCCAACAGCAGGTTTATTCAGCCTGCTGTTGCCCACACAACCTGACATGCCACTGGTTGGCACGGGGTTGCAGATGTGGTGGGACTGCCCATGACATCCATCAGACTGGCCCACAGCCTGCCACACTTAGAGGGCATGAGAGGAGCTGTGTCACAGCTGGCATCACCTGTCACCACAAACCCATCCTTTTGCACACTGGTGATCTCACAGACCAGAAAAGTATTCCTCTTGGAGGAGGTCTGCAAGGTACCTGAAACTAGAAGAAGCACCAAGAGATGCAGTGTGACTGATCCTAATGGAAACAAAACAGTTTTAGCAGGAACCTCACAATGCTCCGTGATGCCTATGCACAAATTACATCTCCTCACCAAATGCAAGCAGGCCGCAGCACTCACCTGCTGTTGCAGACACCAGAGACAAGTGAAAGCAGGAAGGTCAGCAGCATGCAGGCAGGCACTGAGGCCTGCTTCATCAGCTCCACAATGATACTCGCTTCAACGCCATCCGACTGCCAGTGGGTCATCTTAATGGGCCCATCATCGTACCTGTCTGTCATGAAGAGCACCTTGCTGCTTGCAACTGTGTTAAAGATGGCAGAGAGCTTGGAGGCATCCTCTGCCCCGAGGTCAGCTGTGTCCAAGGGGGGGTGCAGATGGGAAAGCATGACTTTACGCTGGTCATAATACACTAAGATGATTTCTTCTTCTCTGTGGTTGTCAGACTGTTTCTGAAGGGTAGAACAGTTCCAGAATTTGCTGTCTCCCTCTTTGCTTATCTGAATCCACGGCTCATGAGAAAATATCATCCCAAGGTCTTCCAAGAATTCACTCAGACTCTCTTCTTTCTCCTGTTTGCTGTTGTTCCATGAGCCGAGCACAGAAATGTTGACGTTAGTCACCTGCTGGACTTCCCTGAGATACTGCTTCACCTGAACAGGAATGAAGGGGAAATGGACCACGGCGAGGATAACAGCAGAGCTCTGCTCTGGGATCCAGCGGCCAATCAAAATGCCGCTTTCTGCCGAGGAGCAGCACGAAGGAAAGAAGACCTTAAGGACCATGCCAGCGATCCTTGGAGGGTGGGACACCTGCCAACAGACACAGAATTTGGGATGCTGATTAGACGTAAGGAGAACACGAGCTGGCCGAAGTCACCAGCAAGGAGGTCTCCTTTATCACCCAGACACCCAGAGCTGAACTCAGTAACAAACACACTGAACAGAGGTGGCCACAGCACTCATCCCCTCCTCTCACCTAGGAACAAAGACAAGAAGTCTGTTGCAAGCAGACTACAGCGACTGACTGATTGAGGTTTACAAAGTAGCTTCAATTCATTAGATGCACGATCCCAACAAACCAGGAGAGGCATCTCTGCTTTATCAGTGCTCCATATCTGAAGTATTTTTCTTGTTGTCATTAAGAAAATATCTCAATGGCTTCATAAGACTTTTATTAAAAGGAGCTTCAGGGCAGCTGACAATGTCTCTTTAAATAAGGTGAAGGTTTCTAACAGAAATATAATTGCTGTAAGGAGAGCGCTCGCACAGAACAATCGGCATCTGGCACCCGTTGTCCTTTTCTGTCCTTCAGTGCTTTGTTAGAGATGTGAAAACTCCACAGCCCCCGAGGCTGGCTGCTCTGCGAGGGACCCAGTCAGTCGGAAAGAGGAACGGAGTGTATTTATAACATGCACAGAGGATGCACAACAAGCAGGTCCCTGTGGTTTGGTTTCTTTCCTCCCTTTTTAATACAGGACAATCGATTGAGTAAATCTCAGCACTGGGCAATTTGCACTGGAATGGAGCAGGCGATGGGGCAGCAGCAAAAACAAGTGGTTAAGCAGCTCCCAGGCCCACAGCCCTGCAAATATGGCTCACAGAGGAGCACTGTGAAGCTCACCCCAGTGCATTCCCTCTATCAGGGTCCTCGGGGAGGTTCTGCTGCTGAGCACAGGGTCTGCAGGCACTGGGGGCTCCAGCCCATGGGGAGAGCAGCTTTGGGAGCCCACAGAGGGAATGATATCTCCTCCTCCATGACCGAGGATAACTGTAGAGATGTGGAGCCTGCAAGCACCTTGGGAGAACCTTTAATAACCTGTATTTCTTCCAAAGGGCTTCAAACCTCCGGCAGATTGGGAAGGGAAAACATATCAAAAGTAGAAAACTGGCAGGTGTGACATCCTGAGATGGGAAAGGTGCAGCACACCAGGCATGGGAAGGATGAGGGAACTGCAGTCCAACTGAGAAACAGCATCTCCAAACCCTAACAATCGTTAGACACAGACTCAAAAGCAGGACATGCTGCTTATCCACTCCTATTGACACGGCCAAAATGAGGGTGGTTTGGTTTTTTGGGGTGGAAGACCATGAAGACAATCAAGGACAGCCACTCTGTTAGAATAATTCCTGAAATGCATGGGAAAACAGTGCAAATCAGTTGACAATTAGACTGGTCCTAAAAAAGTCTAAAATAAAACCTGTCCCTGCATCACACGTTTGTTTCATTTAGAAGGAAGTTGCTGCTACCTTCACAAGCACCGCCCCTTTGCTAAGGGTCACACACACCCCAGACAGAAGGAAATAAACCAGGGGCACAACTCCCACCTTTCACCCATACGTCTGCAGCCAAAAACCTGAGCATCTCCTGCTCACACGGCACACGCACCACCAGCACACAGAGACAGGACGAGGGGAAAAGGCTTTCAACTAAAAGAAGGACGATTTGGGTGAGATGTGAAGAGGAAACCCTTCGCTCAGCGGGCGGCGAGGCGCTTCCCAGAGCTGTGGGTGCCCATCGCTGGAGGCGCCCACGGCCACGGATGGGTCCTGCACAGCTGAGCTGTGCGGCTCAGCCCACGCAGCGCTGCGGAGCCCTTCCAACCACAGCCATTCCACGCACGTTCGGGGCGCGCGTTGGACGAGGCAGCGGTGGGAAGGATCCCAAGCTAAATCCCTACCCGGGGACCCCGACGCTGCCGCCAGGCCTGGAAGCACGGCGCACAACGGAACGTTGCCCGCAGCGCAGCGCTCCCCGCCGGCGGCCCGCAGTTGTGGCGCCCCCCGTCCCGCACCGCTCCGCGCCGCCCCGCGCCCCGCTCCGACCCAACGCCGCCTACCGCTCCGCGCCGCCCGCTTCCGGCTGCCGGTTGCTCGGAGACGCCGCCTGCGCACCGCGCTGAGCCCGGCCGGCCCCGCAGCCCGGCGTCCCGCGTTCCGCCCGCCGCGGTGCTCGTTTCTCCCCTCTCCCCGCTTCACGCTGGGTTTTCAGACCCTCGCCCCGCAGCACCGACCCGAGGCGTCCTCGCAGGGCTGGGAGCCGCGCGGTGTAACTGAGCTGCTGCTGAGCGTGTGAGATAAGCGGCGCCAGCGCTCGGTCCTGCTATCTCTTGCGGCCACGGCGCTCAGCTCCGGGGCCTCGTGGTGCCTGGCAGCCTCTCCCCGCACTCTGTCCCTGGCTTACCCTCCTGCTGACCGCACACGATGGGGCACCCATTGGGCTGTGCTTGGGATGCGGGATAAGTGCCTTTGTGCAGCGGTGGGGCACAGATCACAGCACTGAGTGCGGGATGGGGCACCCAGCACAGCCAGGCTGAGCGCCCTGCGAGCCCGGAGGCATCAGCTGCAGCCTCGGAGCTGTGGTGCAGCCCTGCACTGCCATAAGCTGGAGCAGGAGAGGAAAACAGCCTTCCCTCTGCCACCACACCCTGCTCGCTCTCTGCTGATAGCGACGTGGCTCCTGAACGGTGCAGCCCCAGTGCTGTGCGAGCAATGGGACGTGCAGATAGGGAACGCGCTCCGTGCAGTAGTTGCTGCTTCCCTGTAGAGGTCAGGAATGTGGCATGGGATTTGTTACCTTTCTTTTAATGTTCTCCTGGAGGGTATGGCAAACTCAGCTCTGTCCTGGCCTTACCCCTCTGGCTGTGGACATCAGGGAGGCAGAAGCGTGGCCACGTAAAATGGGTGTGTGTGGGAGAGAAGGAATTATTTCATTGAAAGGACACACAAGAGGATGGCAGTAAGTTTCCAAGGCACCAACACACCATCATTTTTATAGAACCAGAGAATCCTTCAAGCTGGAAGGGACCCACAAGGACCATGGATACCAACCCCTGGCTGCACACAGCATCGCCCAAACCCAAACCCTATGTCAGAGCAGCGTCCCATTGCCCTGGGAAGGCTGTTCCATGCCCACTGTCCATCTCAGCCCTTCAGCTCCTCCGGTGGATCCAGGAAGCGTGGAGCTGAACCGTTGTTGCTGTAGTCCTTGTTTCTGCCATCTGGAAAAGCTGAATGGCAACAACGTGGTTGAGTGCAGGGTCAACGGGAGCACCTTCATTTGCCACCCACCAGCGGACCCACAGCTCAGCAGGGGGGTTGTGGTGGAACCAGCCCGACTCTGAAGGTTGTCACAAGGTGCCCAAGGGCTGGCGGGGCCTCACGTGGTACTTGAAGACTTTCACACAGTTCTCACCTGTGTCTGCCACGAAGAGGTGCCCGAAGGGGGAGCAGGCCACGCCAGCCGGCCTCCGCAGCCCTGCGGACACCAGGCAGATGGGAGCCCCGCTCTCTGGGAACAAATGGACGGAGCGGTGCTGCTCGTCTGCCACCACGACACTGCCTTCTGCATCCACACACACCCCCGCCGGGTTGCCAAACTGGTGTCCGTATTTGCTGCTGAGGGAGCAAACGAGTTTATGACTGCTCATGAACACCTTGACGTCTCCGCACTCCTCGCTTACCACAAAGCCTCCGTTGGGTGCAGGGCTGACGTAGCGAGGTCCCTGCAGGTTGGGGACTGAGCGGATGTTCAGTGTCCTGAAGGCATGGTCCAGTGCAAAGCTGCAGACTTGGCCTTGGGCATAGTCTGCGACTAAGATCCTGCCCATGGAATCCACTCCAACACCCCTGGGGGAGCCAACCTTCCCGATCTTTATCCATTCCCCTTTGGAGGGGGTGGTGTGAGGATTGAAGACCCAGACAGCCCCATTTGTCATGTCAGCTACGGCCACCATTCCTCCCCGAGTCACAGTCACATCCTCCGGCAAAAAACTGCCCCCTTCCCTCCCCGTTTGCCAGCAGGGCAGGGACTTCAGCACTTGGCCTGTGCTGCTGAGCACATGCACCCAGGGAGCACCCTCGGCTGTCACATAGATAGAGCCATCCCGGGAGCAATGGATTCCACTTACACACCCGTAACGGCTGCCAGTGGGGTTGGGGATCTGCCGGACCAGCTCATCCTGACGATAGTGGAGGAGGTTCTTGATGTTGTCCAGGTCTTTACAAAGGCTTTTGGTCTTGTCTGCCAGCTGGTGGACTTGGAGCTGTGTCACCATGCCCATGCCCTGCTGGCTGCTCAGCAGCGGGCTGGCAGTCTGGAGAGTGGTGTTTGACTTCAGCTGAAGGCTGTAGAGGGCTTTCAGAAGCTTCTCCTTCTGCTGGCTGGTCTCCAGAGTGGAGTCCATGATGAGACTCTCATCCCTGTTTAGAGTAAGTAAGTGGAAGGACTCTTACTGACTGATCTCTAGGGATGTGCTCTGAGATCGGGTGCTTGCTGTCTACACAGGTGTTGGTGCTAGGCTGGATTCATGCCAAAGCAACAGAGAACAACTCATAGTCCTGCCCTGCCCACTAATTACGTGCTCAAAAATCGAAGGGGAGCAAAGCTGGATCTGCAACCAAAAGAGTGCATGGGCTTCAATGACAGTTTGAGTGACAGATCTGTCCTGAGGGTTTGTGCAGAAGGGACAGTCCTGTGTGTAAGTGCACTGGATCTGAACTCCAGCTCTCCAGTTCTTGAAATCAGTGGCTTCTCTCAGGTCCTTCACATTTCTTTACCTTATTTTCTCTAAGCCACATCTCCCCAAGCCATGCTCAGTCCCTGCTTGCAATGGCTGAGGATAACTTTTCCTCCACTCCCGTGTGGGTCAGATTTCACACCTGGCCAGGGCGTGTGTTTGCTAAGGGCAGCCTCTTTCCATCCAAACCAATGTATTCTGGAAACAGCCAATGCCTTGGCAGGAAGAAAAAGAGAGGTATTGCTCTGATTCAGTCTCCACAAACATTTCAGAAGTGAGTTACAACTTATTTCAGATTTGAGAGCCACCACAGCAACCACGATTTCTCTTTTGCCCACCCTGTTTTACAACCACAAATATGAAGGAAAGGGTCCTGCAAAACCCAGAGTCCACATCCCTGCTCTCCAGCAGACAGGAGCTGCTAAGAGAAACATGGCCTTGGTGAGGATCCTGGAGAGGCAGAAGTTAACCTTGCTTTAAATGTTCTCATTATTATTGTTATAAAGGACTGTTCTGTTTGCGAGCCACTGCTCCACCTTGATTGCCCTGTGTCCCATGACTGGCTGCTGTTTTACACTGCCTGCAAAAGTAATACTTCCCAAAGCCACCACTGAAGGGTTGTGCTGGGCTGAGACATACTGGGTGTATCCTTCCCAAATGCAAACACTGCAGATGTCCGAAACATCACTCCCCAAGTACCTGCAGAGATACCAAATGCAACTACATGAGAGTGAGTGCGAATCCGGTTCCTGTTGGATCTGAGTACAATTTCCCCACCTTCTTCCCTCAGTGCAGGGGAAGTGTGCCTCAGCCCCTGACAGCAGGGAGCTGGGAGGTGGCACCAAGCCTTCCTCCAACCCTCACACTGCCGCTGCCACGGAGCATCGGGGTCTTCCTGAAGAACTGAGCAGGGTTCAAATCCAATAAACTGGCTTCCAGAGTTGGGAAAAAGTGAGTTACCAGCCAAGGGGCTAAGTTGCCAGCCACCACAAACCCAAAAACACAAGTGTCCACTTTGCTGGCCCTGACCCCATCCCCACCACAGCTCAGTGTCTGCGCACGGCCAGGAGCCCAGCTCCTACCTCTTGCCTGGATGTCCAGGGGCTGCCTGTCCTTCCCAGCAATGTTGCCCTCCTGCTGGCTCTGTCCTGCTCCCTGGCCAGGCTTAGGGTGGTGGGGCTGATGGTGCTGTGTTGTGTTGTTAGTGACGGACGATTGCCCTTGAGTGTGGGTAAACACAACAGCTTCCTGTGCTGACAACCAGAAGCAGCAAGACAAGGGCTGGTGCACCCAGTTTTTTATTCCCTGCTGGTCTCGTGCCCAGACAGAAGGTGTCTTTACTCCAGGATCAGAGGAAAGGTCCCAAGGTGCCCAGGTGCAGTGACAATTAAGGGCTTTAATGCAGAGCTTCAGACAAAGGGAGCAATATGCTGCACCTGAGTGAAACATCCTTTGGGAAGTGGGGTGGGGACAGTCCCACACCTTGGGTCAGGGTTCTTAACTTATCTCACTGCTCCTCCATGGCTCCCTGTGTGCTCCCAGCCTGGGTCACGTGCAGTTGGGTGCCCCAGTTTATGGGAGGAGATGGGGATTTTGTAGTGCCCAGGGTCTGAGGTCCAATGGAGATGCTCTTGGGAAAGAGTTCAGCTCTTTATCTCCATGTCTGTCAACTATGGCTCCCTGCTGCTGTGCAAGGCTGTGTTCTGACTTGGAAGTAGCACTGATTGGTTCAAGCAAAGATAGTGAAGAGTAAGGGCAGAACCAGCGAGGTCCCACCTGTAAGGCACTGCTCAGCACTGGATTTGCACAGTGTGGGGTCCACCCTGGCCAAGCACGAGCTCAAAGCATCCACCTTAAATGTGGCCAAGGTTTTTCTTGGGCTTAATAATGTTTGTGTCTGTCCATTACCCAGATGAGCAATGAAGTTTGGATTGATCTCCCCCCATTTTTCCATCTTATGGGGTGCTTGGAGACAGTTGGGCCCTGCTGGCTGTAGGGGCTGCAGGATGGGGAGCTGCCTCTGGAGCCCTGGGCTGGGAGCTCCTGATTTAGTGCTTGGGGACCTTCTGGTCCTATCAGTGCATCCCTGAAGCTCACAAGGTCTGGAGAGCTGCTTCAGGCCTATTACCAGACAAAATTACAAAATAACCTGACATGACAAGCACTGGGGCCACTCCATCCAAGTCCCAGCAGGACATAGGCAGCTTCAAAAACCATCTCCCAGGGCAACAGGGTCTGACCTTTTGTTTCACTGTTGTGTGCTCCATCACCATGATAAACAAACGCAGCCTGGCCCTGGGGCTCCTGTTCACCTTTCCAGGACCGTGCCTCTGTCACAACCCGTTTTGAAGCCACCCCTGGACCTCAGGAGGCACCTGTGTCATGGTACAGCTCATGCCCACGCCA